ACCCACCACCACACCCACCTAATTTTTGTATTTTTAGTAGAGACGGGGTTTCACCAACTTGGTCTGGCTGGTCTTGAACTCTGACCTCGTGATCCACCCACCTTGGCCTCCCAAAGTGTTGGGATTACAGGCGTGAGCCATGAATGCCTTAATTCTTAAGATAGTAATGGGGAATACTGTTCTGAGCCAAGAATGTGAGAGCCAGGGAACATAAGTTTATAAGATCACACAGTGTAGTTCTAACAGTGACTTTAAACCCAATAGCTCCCTATCGAAATTCAGGATACCAAAAAGTGCAACAGTAATATTCTGGATTCTAAACTTAAGTTTGAATAAGGATATCATATTTCCTCTTACTTAGAAGGTAAAATACAAGTTTTACTAATCAAGAATGTGATTAGACTTTCAATATCTCCATCATAAACCAATGTGTGACAAAGGAGATAAATCTTATATTCAGTCCCTACTGACAGACATGATGTCCTTTGGTCTCAAAGTGCAAATTAACTAAGTATCCCAAGAGACTACAGCCTAAGACAAACTCTACCTGGGAAAAACAAAACAAAACAAAATAATAACAATAATAGAGACAAAAATACTGAAAAAAGGAAAACGGTATTAGTATGTATATCCCTTTATAATTTACAGTAGGAATATTTTCATTACCATGCAATAGTATTCAATTAAATAAAGATGAAAGGGATCTATTAAATCATGATGTCTAATGCATGCTAAGGGAAGGCATATTTCCCTGGAGAGAGGAATAAAAAGAAAAAAATATATAAAAACAGATACTATAATAACATTTGAGGAAGGTTCAGTTAGCATATAGTCTTCAGATATCAAATAGAGGTATTAGCATAAGTAGTGGAGACGATTAGATATTGATACAAAGTACCCGTATCAATACAGAGTCTTGTGCTGTGTTTTCAAACATCTAATATATTTGCCTGGAGCGCTTGCAAATTAAAGCTACTCTGTTTATACACAACATAGAAAATGGAATTTGAGCTTCAATGAATTTTTAATTTTGTTCAATCTTGCATTTGTTCAACCAAAAACAATTTAAAGAGGAACACGACGATCAGCCTTAGATTGAGCAAGTTCAGCTCCTCACTAGGGAGTTCTTGAATCCACCATAAAAATCAACAGTGTGCATCTAATAGTTTTCTTTTAATTTGAGAACTGAAAAGTGAATCATCACATCAAATATTCTTCAGGGTCTCTTTTGTTTCCAGATTAAACATGTAATGTGACCTGTCATCTTGCCACATTCTCACATTTCCATTTTAAATAATCATAAATAAGAAAACCTTACTATTCTTTGGCATAACACAGCTGTTTGATTCCGCTGAGTTTCAAAGTCTTAGAAATTGCACTCATTCCTTCTTTAGAGTCCTGCTTTATGGCAAAAGTTTTCAACTGAAAGACTCTTTATTGTACTCAAATCTTGTCCCATACGAGTTGTTCTGGTTACTTAGTTTATGAAGAGTCTTGGATAGTGAATTGGGCCCACAACAGAAAACACCAACTGTTTTCCTAGAATAAGAGAAGAGGAAATAGAAAATCAGGTGTAAAATTAGGCAGAACGTAACAAGAAATATGTTTTATTAGCATGGTTTAAAGTATTAACAAAGTCAATTTCTTGCTGTTTTACATATGGAAAACAATTTTCTAATTATTTCCAAATGTAAATGTCAACCAGGAAAATATTTTATTTACCTCATACTTTTCATTCTAGAATTTAGGGTAATTCAAAGAATGTACCTATGAGCACAAATATGCTTATTATCAGGCAGAGATTGATTATTTGCCTTAGTCTTTTCATGACTTGTCATTGGTGAAACCAGCAACCTCATTAAGAGCAACGATTGATAGATGTCAATTGCTAAACAGCTGACCTCTGAATAGATGTTCAGTCCACACTGGGCAACGTAAATTCTTCTTTTATTGTACACTTTACACATAGTTATCTAAAATTCCTACATGGACTTGCAAAAGCAGTGATGAATAAGGAAGGAAAGAAAAAAGATATTACCAATTTGAAATAGTATTTTTAAGCAACCAATTTATATTCACAGTAAAACAAAAAACATATTCATCTAGTTCTTTTTTATTTATGCACTGCAATAATGGTAACAAATGCCAAGCAGTTTTTATTATTCTCGAATATAAAATTTTAGTAGATAAATAATACATATCTCTAACAGATAGACTAAATAAATCCCAGGAAATAAATAATATTTCAAATTGACCTTCTTCCCAAGTTTGATTTGCATTTGATTCTTCCTAGGATGTCAAAATGATTAATATTTCATCTCATATCTTGGGAAAATCCAGTATGTCTTGATTATCTCAGAATAACTCATGCTGAACAAAAGACACGGAATCCATTAAAACTGGTACCAAAAATTAATAGTAAATACCGAAAAAAAAGTTATTAAAACTTTTTACCTTGAAAAATGAAACTAAAATCTGTGAAAATAGAATTTTACTTGGAGCCACGATGGGGTAATAGGGATCAGATCTACCCTCTTACATTAAAAATCTATAAAAAAGCAAACCAAATAGAGGAAATAAGTATTTTCAGACACTGAATAATAGGTATATTATTATATACCTATTATAGAGCTATAGCTATTATTATATATTATATTATACATTACATATATTATATAGTTGTATACGTATTATATGCTATTATTATATAGCATGGAACTATGATCCCTGAAAAGGGAAGAAAACATACTAAGCACAGTCACTGTCTTTGCTTATTGCCTGGAGGCAATCTACTGGCTGCAGCACAGAGAGGGGAAACTCTAGCAAAGATTGGTGATTACACTGAGGAGACAAAGAGCGGAGTTCATTGAGGCCAAACAGTTGGAATTTGTGGAACAGAATATGGAAGGGAAGGGAGATCCACAGAAAGATGCTTTGGAGATCAGGAGAGAAGAGTCCTCAAGTCTTTGTTTGATTAATAATCTGTTCATATATGAGAAGAAACTTCATGAATGTGGGTAAAGAGCTATCAGAGATCAACAGGACAAATAATTGCCAGAGTTTACACAGGACTGCAAATAATTTGCATTCACACACACCAGAATAGAAAGTCCTATAAATACAGGGCAATGGGTTGTATTCTCAGAAAGGTTATCACCTTATTTGCAAGGAGTAGAGGGGATATTGGTAAAATTAAGCTTGGACCGAAGGCTGCTCTGGACCTCCACTAACAAATCTGAAAAGTGAGCCTTGTAAAGATCCAACTGAACCTGAGTAACTTAACTGCATGTCAGAAAAAGTCCAAAACTATTAAAATAAATAAATCAAAATTTGGCACCAAACATTTAAACTTTAAAATGTACAGAAATCAATAAAAAAAGTACCAGGAATTCAAAAAGCAAAAAAGTATGAACTATAACTAAGAGTGTTATGGGCTGAAGTGTGCCCCTCTAAAACCCGTAGGTTGAAGTCCTAGCCCTCAGTACTTCAGGATGTGACTGCATTCGGAGACAAGGCTTTTAAGGAGGCAATTTAAGTTAAAATGAGGGTACTAGGGTAGGCCCTAATCCAATCTGAATGGTATACTTATAAGAAGTAATTTGAACACAAAAAGAGACACCAGGGAAGTGCATGCACAGAGAAAAAGCCATGTGAAGAGGCATCAAGAACGTAGCCATCTGCAAGTCAAGGAGAGAGATCTCAGGAAACTAGTCCTGCTTGCATCTTGATCTTAAACTTCCAGCCCCCAGAACTATGAGAAAATAAATTGCTGCTGTTTAATCCACCCAGTCTGTGGTATATTGCTATGGTAGCCCTAGCAAACTAATTCAAGGAGAAAGAGCATTCAACAGAAACAGACTCAGAACGATAGACGTGGTCATTGAAACAGTGATGATATACAGGCTTCATATATTCAAAGAAAAGCATAATCACGATGAGACAATAAATGGAATATTTTTTAAAGGCCCAAACATAAATTCTCGAGATGGAGTGCAATATTTGAAATGATAAATACACTAGATGAGTTTAAAAAAGAATAGGCATTGCTGAAGAAAAAGTAAACTTGAAGAAACAGCATTAGAATCTATCCAAATTGAAACACACAGAGAACAAAAACTGAAAGAAAAAAAAAAAGAAAAAGAAAGAAGCACAGAGCATCAGTGGTCCGTGGGATAATACCAACTAGTCAAAAATACATGTAACCATAGTCCAACATAAGAGAAGACCAAGGGAGAAGAAATAAATAAATAAATAAAAGATCTCATAAATCCCAAGGAGAATAAACACAAAGGAAACTATACCAAGGCAATTGATAATAAAATGCTAAAAACAAGTGACAAAAAGAAAACATAAAACCAAACAGACTGGGGGAAAAGACACATTACAAATCATCAACAGAAAATATAAGAATGAAATATAAGAATGAACGTGAACTTCTTATCATAAACTATGCAAGTCAGAAGTCAATGAAGTGATATCTTCAAAGTACTAAAATATAAAACATCAACTATTATGTATCAAGCAAATTTTATGCCAAACAAAAATGATTTTTCAGAAATTAAGATGGAATAAAACTTTATATACAGACAAAAGCTGAAAGAATTTATCACCAGCAAACCAGTACTATAAAGTACACTAAAGAAAACTACTCAAGAAGTAGGAAAACAAAATTAGATGGAAATTTGAATCTAACCAAAAGAATGAAGAACAGCAAAATAGTAAAATCTGTAAGTAAATATAAAATATGTATTTTGTCTAATTTCTAATCTTTTTAATATGTGCTTGATGTTTAAAACAAAAATACTAATGTTGAGAATTATAACATATGTATATGTAAGGTGAATGCAACAATAGCAAAAAGGATGGAAGAAAATGGAAGTACATGAAGTGTTATAATATTATTCAAAGTACCAGCCTGGCCAACAGAGTGAGATCCCATTTCTACAAAACATTTTAAAAATTAGCTGAGCATGGTGGTATGCAACTGTAGTTCCAATTACTCAGGAGACTGAGGTTGGAAGAGCTCTTGAGCCCAGGAATTCAAGATTGCAGTGAGCCGAGATCATGTCACTGCACTCTGACCTGGGCAACAGAGCAACACTCTGTCTCTAAAAAATAAATATAAACATAAACATAAACATAAACATAAAATAGGCTGTGATAAGCTAATGATGTATACTGTAAACTTAGAACATTGTTTCTCTAATTTTGGCTTCATCAGAATCATTTCACAGACTTCATAGAACACAAATAGGTAGGTCTCCCCATCCCTATGGTTTCTGATTTGGCAGATCTTGGATAGGGCTCAAGAACTTGCTTTTCTAACAAGATTCCAATTGATGCTGGTCTGAGGAATCCAGTTTGGGAACCAACAACCTGAAGCAATTACTAAAAAGAAAAAAAAATACAGAGGTATAGCTAACATTAGAGGAAAAACGTGGAATAATAAAAAATACTCAACCCAAATCAAGGTAAAAAAAGAAAATAAAACAAAGAAAGAACAAATAGATAAGTACAAAGCAATGGTGAACTGCTAGATTTAAACCCAACCGTATTTTCATTAAATTGAATGTAAATGATTTAAACACTGAAACTAAAATGTTTCAACATAAAGTAAAAACTGATGGAACCGCAAAGACAGATAAATTCATAATTATAGTTAATTATTTCAATACTCTCCTCTCAGTAATTAATATAAGCAGACAGAAATTCAGCAAGCATATTGAAAACTTGAATACCACTATCAACCTATTGGAACTAATTGGCATTTATAGAATGCTTTATCTAACAATAATGGAATACCAATTATTTTTAAGTGCATATGGAACACTCACCAAGACTGAACATATTCTGGGCAATAAAACAGGTATCAATACATTTTAAAGGATTAGAATCACAAGGAGTTCATTTTTAGATCAAATCACAATTTAAGTAGAAATTAAAAACAAAAAGATACCTGGAAAATTTCCGCATATTTGGAAATAAAACATTTCTAAATAACCCATGGGTCAAAGAAAAAAACAACATAAAAATAAAACATATTTGAATAAGATGAAACTGAAAACAAACAAGTCAAAATGTATAAGAGTTAGCAAAAGTGATGTTTAGAGGAAAACGTGTAGCATTAAACACTTTTATTAAGAAAAACAGTCTGAAATCAACGACCTATGTTTCCATTTTATGAAACTAGTAAAAATTTAAAAAAAAGCTAATCAAACCCAAAGTGAGCAAAAGAAATAAAAACATATGAAACTAAATGATTTTATACTTAATGAAATTTAAATTACTATTGAGACATAATGTAGCTTCCATTAAAATAAAAAGAGAATTGAGTCATTTTGTTTCTTTGTGTAAACTTTCTGTCAACACGGTATGATGGCAATAAGATACCACTGTTTTTTTGCTTGGCTTTGACAGGGCAATTATAGAACTAGTTTGGCAAGTTTTTCAGATTTCCTAAAGGTACTTCTTAAATACGTGATAATAAAATCAAGTATTAATTATAAAATAAATAATAATAAAAATCATTATTTTTAAATCACCCAGGATATTATGATTTTTGTGGGTTTTTTTAACATTTTCTTTTGCAATTATTAACTAGCTTAACTCTGATAGCCTTTGTGTGTATGTGATCTGAGGAATTCCCTAATGTCACTCTCACTAACTTAATGAAATCTTACTTTTTTTTTTTTTTCCAAATTCTACAAGCAATCTTTGCAATTCATTTGTACTAAATTTGCATTACAGTGCTGCAATCCAACAATTATCTAGAGACCTCTCTACATAACCTTTGATGGAATGGGTGGAGGTAGAATCGGGTACTAAGTAGAAAATGTGGTTTGGGGGTAGACATTAGAAACTAGTTCTATAAATGTTCATACTTGCTTTTTCATGTAGATTTGTAAACATAGAATCTTACATAATGAGAACTTAATCACTCCAGAGAGCTTATTCACTCATTGCATTACAGATCCAGGAGAACTGAGTCACTTGACTCAGGGCACAGGAGTAAATGTGATAGACTAAACCTAGTCTGTTTATACTCTAGAATATTTTGAGGTACAATTACACAGAAATTGTCCATGACCAAAAGAAATACATCATTAAAAAGTTAGTTGGTTCTTCCTAGCAAAGCCAAGAAAAAACAAATAAATAAATAACAAAGTAAGCTGAAGAATTACTTGTCATAGATTCAATTTTTGTTAGAAAACTAAAGTTTCAATTTTAAATATATATAGCACACACACACACAAACATATGTTTACATATACTTTCATAAATACACACA